GGGGGGGGGGGGGGGGGGGGGGGGGGGGGGGGGGGGGGGGGGGAGAGCAGAGCAGCTGGTCAGGAAATGCATTTCGCCCCCCTTCCTATGGCCAGGGAACTCCGGTCTTGGCGGGGGTGGTGGAAGGGTTGGGTGCCCAGCCAACGCCAACCCTCTTCGTGTTTTCAAGGGACGATTCACATCCTGGTCGGTGCCCTTTTCTCACTCTGACCATCGGGAAGACGACCCAAAAGCACGGCCGGCCAGACAACGAGGTTTACAAACAGCTTTGATCCGTGGGCTGTCAGACTCCCAAATGCAGCTACAACCGCTCTCCATGCATACGTGGAAACCATCATTGCTAATTGCTTGTATAAGGACCATTTTCTATAATATTATGCACGTTGTATTGTACCATCCTTATGGAGAGCACCAGCAGGAGCAAGATCGATTTCGCTGTATATGTGTACAATGATAATAAAGGTGGTGGTTGTTGTTCTTATCATCATCATCATCTTCATCACACAGTCAGTCAGATGTTCCGACTGGGTTTGGCATTTCTGTCTACCTATCGAGCCCTTCCTGAGGACCGGGATGCAAAATTGGATGTTTGATGGTGTTACAGAGATCGCCGCAGGACAGAAGCTGTTCCAAGCAAAGCTGCCTTCCGCAATTGACCGGCGGCAAATCGGTCAATGCCGCTGATGGTGTTTAAGTGGTGCTCCAGTGGTTTTGGGACCGCGCCCAGGACGCCTATGACTATGTTTGCCTTTGCCATAGTCGTTCTATTTCTGTTTGTAGGTCTTTTCAATTTCTTTTTCTTCTCCTGTTCGTTCTCTTCTCTTCTGCTGTCTCCAGGCACGGCCACATCCACTATCCGGACCTTTTTCTGTCTTTCTTGTCGACAACTGTTAAGCCCAGGGTGTTATGTGACAGGTGTCTGTCTTTCTGGATTCTGAAGTCCCAGAGCAATTTAACTACTTCATTTTCCATGACCTTTTTCTACTTTGTGGTCCCAGGCAAATGATATTTCTTGCAGATCTTCCAGTGGACCATTGTTGCTACTTTGTCGTGCCGCTGCTTGTGGTCAGTTTGTGCAATCCTCTTGGGGCAGCTCACCAAGTGGTCCACTGTTTCTTCAGCTTCTTTGCATAGGCGGCACTTCCTGTCTGTTCCTGTCTTCTCCATTCTGGCTTTGCATACGTTGGAATCGGATTCCGAGGCGGAGGCTCGGGAGTGGGAGTGGGAGTGTGGCTCCGGTGGCTGTGGAGGAAACTGGGGAAGGGCACAGGCTGGCTGGGCATTCAGAGGAAGACCCAGACCCACCCCCTCTTCATCCTAGGGCACGCAGGGAGGAGCGGAGAAGGAAGCAACGTGAGTTACGGGGGAGAAAAGGGTCCTGATCCCCTTCATTAGCTGCAGCTGGGAGAACAGGATTTTAAAAGGGTGTTTGCGCACAGCTCCTTGCTGGAAGCAAAGCGTGAATTATCTTTGTTTGTCAAGTCTTATCTGAGTTCTGGCATCCTCCCAACTGTGTGTGTTTCGTTATCTTTTGAAGTCTGCAATTCCTTATCCCGGCCTGTCTCGTTAATTGCTGCAGCTTTGTGGTTTGTGTTGGTTTTTATTTATAATCTATATGTACTTTGGGTTCAGACTGAAATTCTTCCCTTTAAAAACTGTTCTTGGGAGAAGTTTTTTCTCTAGCCGATGATAACTGGTCATTGGGGGCCAAGTTGGAGGAATTAAAGGGACTTTACCTACTTTTGTGACTTTGTTGCTTTTGTGCCACGCCCCTTTGGGTCCTCACACATTTGTCCTTAAGGCTTGGTCTTGCGCAGCCAGAATTAATCCCTCGGTCTCTTTCTTTAACTTTCCTGCACTTATCCATTGCCAGGTCTTGTTATTATCTGCTTTCCCTGTTATTTTTTTTTTTAAATGTACTGGCCATGTAGTGCTTTGTCTTCCCATGCCTCCGTTCTGTTCCTCATTTGGTCTTCCTTGTAGGCCTCCTCCTCCTCCTCCTCCTCCTCCTCCTCCTCCTCCTTCTTCTTCTTCTTCTTCCTCCTCTTCTTCTTCTTCTTCCTCCTCTTCTTCCTCTTCCTTCTTCTTCCTCCTCCTTCCTTCTTTCTTCTTCTTCTTCTTCTTCTTCTTCTTATTATTACGACACTGGACGGACTGGGCAGCCAGTTGTCCAGAATGGTATGTATGCTAAGGAGGTCCAGTCTTAGGAACTGTTAAGACTTCTGGACTTCAGCTCCCAGAATTCAACACTACCTGGGGAATTCTGGGAGTTCCTACAGGTCCTAAAGCCGCCACAGTTGGCCACCCCGCCTTAAGAGGAACCGTCAGAGAAAATCTGCCCATGGCTCACCTTCAGCCTCTTAAGAAGCCACTGCATGAGGCCCTGCTGGGCGGCATCCGCACACACCTCTGGCCGAAACTCCGCCATGTTCTCAATGATAGCTTTGAAGAAGATTAAGGGGTGGGTGGGGAGAGAGAGAGAGAGTACAGAAGAGACTTATCGGTGCTGAATTTCCAGAGATTTCACAGTCACGAGCGTTATCTCAGCAGGCTTCCCAACGCGGCAGCGTTCTCTACAACAGTGGTCCCCAACCTTTTTTGTGCCACGGCCCGGTACCAGCATCACAAAATGATCCGCGGCCCGGTACCGGCATCAGCACGCATGACAAGGCAAGGCGAGCCGAGAGACCGGCCAGCCAGCCGTCCCCCGCTTCTCCCCGCCACCTTCAACTCCTCCTTTGTACCTTTGTCGATGGGCTTCGCTTCGGGACGGCTTCGGGACGGTCGCTCGGCTCCCCTTGCCTTGGGTGCTGAAAGAATCCTCGCGCCTTAGTTTCGTTCGAAGCCGCCCCCCCACCCTTCGATGAAACTAAGGCACGAGGATTCCTTCAGGACCCAAACGCCGCTTTCCAACCGGAAAAGCTCACCGGGAAGCACTTTCTCGTCAAACAAGATGGCGGCGCCCAGCAAACTGGCGGCCCGGTAGGAAATGGTCCACGGACCGGGGACCCCTGCTCTACAACAATGTTCCTCGACAATGTTGGCGTGGACTTCAACTCCCAGAATTCCCCAGCCAGCCCGGGTTGAGAAACATTGCGCTAAGACATGGACCTCTGGCCTGGGGCGATGAGAGCCAGGTCATGCCCTGAGAGGCCCAGGCTGCTGGAGATGGGTTCCTCGCTCTCGTTCGCACGCCCTTGTCTGGAAGTTGAGTCAGGGCAACTGGACTTCCAGACAAGCTTCACTGACGTATCTCCACCCGCCGTTGTCATGCTTCGCTTTTCGACTTATTGTCCATGAATATTGTCGATTCATAAACAATGCAAAAGAAACACGAGGAGAATATATTTGTAGTAGCTATTTAGATCCTATAGATGGCGCTGGCAGCAAACTGCAGTGTCTATAAACCTATATAGGGCCTCTTGGCTACTTGCATGATCTCATCCTCTATCTCAGTGGTCCCCAACCTTTTTTGTGCCGCGGCCCAGTACCGGCATCACAAAATCATCTGCGGCCCGGTACCAGCATCAGCACTCATGGCAAGGCGAGCCGAGCAACCGGCCAGCCAGCTGTCCCCCGCTTCTCCCCGCCACCTTCAACTCCTCCTTTGTACCTGTGTCGATGGGCTTCGGGACGGCTTTGGGACGGTCGCTCGGCTCGCCTTGCCATGCATGCTGAAAGAATCCTTGCGCCTTAGTTTTGTTCGAAGCCGCCCCCCCCCCCGATGAAACTAAGGCGCGAGGATTCTTTCAGCACCCAAACGCCGCTTTCTACCCGGAAAAGCTCACCAGAAGCACTTTTACATCAAAACAAGATGGCGGTGCCCAGCAAACCGGCGGCCCGGTAGAAATTGTTCCACGGGCTGGTACCGGTCCGGGGATCGGTGGTTGGGGACCCCTGCACTATCTGTTGGGTTGGAAAGTCCTGGACTTTCCAGGCTTATAGGTGATCTCATTTTACTAACATCATCACTAGTCTTAAGGGTTGGTTGGGAGGTTTTGCCCATGTAGCATCTATTCTCCAGTCCAGATGCTGTTATCTATGTTGCCTTTGTCTTCTGGTAAAAACCCTATAAATGTAATAAAGGCTGCCCATGCAGTCAGACATCTTGGCACCCTGCATGATGGCTGGTCTTTAAAATCCACCCTATATGAAGGTGATAACTAGAGAGACGGATGGAGAGCAGAGAGCTGGAAGGAAGGAGGGGGACTCTGCCATCAATCCAGCAGCCTTTTCCAGTGTGGAAGAGCGCCGTTGGGACCCCAGGCTCTTGGAAGGCAGGAAGTCTAGGAGGACAGGGGAAGATTTCACCTTGGAGGGCAAGATGACTGCTTCCCCTTCCAATGGGCCCCCAACTTACCCAGAGTATTATGAACGCCGTCCGCCTCTTCCTTGACGCTTTCATCCAGACGCTCCAGATTCTGCACCAACAATGCAACCACCTGCCCGTCCACCTGGGCCAAGGAAAAGAAAGAGAGAAAGGGCAGAGTCTGTTAAGAGTTTGCAGCAATCCAACCAGCACACAAGTAAACAATTCAGCATGATTCATTTATAGAAGAAATGTCTTTATATACAATAATATTGCATATAATATTACAGGGCCAGCACCAAGGAGGCTCGTTTCAATTTCATTGGACACATGTTGTGCATTGACAATAAACGTTGGTTTGGTTGATTGATGATATACAGTATGATGCATGCATACAATACCCATGCAGCAGAGGTCAGAACCAGAACTCTTAATCCAGAAGTCGTAATCACAGAAGCTATATACACAGAAGCAAATCAACTCTTACATGCAGTTCTTTTAGTTTTAGTTTACTTTATTCCCGTTGCACGTCGTACAAAGAAATCAAACACCATCTTCAGTGTACATCATGAACAGGACCATGAAAATAAATCCATACGGAAAATATACAGAACTAAGCCACGCCCAGGCTCCGAGCCGGCTGGCATGGCTCACAACAGGTACTGTTTCTTAGTCACCAAACAGTTCCTGTCGGCTGATTTGTTGTTGTGGCTATCCCAGCTCATAATTTCCTATATGCAGACAGACTCAGGGCAAGCAGGCTGGAGAAGGGAAAGGCCCCTACACTGGCAGGCGGCAAGCAGCCAAACACAGCGGAAACCAAAATGGCTGCCACTGAGGGATGCTTTGATTAGTAAAACGGTCTTTCGGTCCAAACTTTGATCCAAAGCACCTGAGGGCAGGACAAGAAGTAACGCGGGGGGGGGGGGGGGATAGTTAAAGAGAGGTGCAACCTGGAAGGAAGGAGAAATTAGTACCACTCTGTAATGTCTCGGTAAGCCCACGCTTGGAATATGGCATCTACTTTTGGTCGCTGCAATATATAAAAAAAGAGGTTGATGCGTGAGGGTCCTTTTGCTTTTATATATAGAGAGAGATGTATTAAATTGGTATGCCGCCCATCTCACTGTTGGAAGAGACTCTGGGCAGCTTACAACATGACTAAAAAAAAAAAAAAAAGACAATATCACATGGTTAAAATTAAGAAAGATTAAATAAGGACCAAAAGCTAAGAGGACAGGTGACACGGGGGTGTCACCCACCGGCATACAGTACCCTTAAAAAGGACTCCAGCCCAGCTGGCAGAGCCAACTTTTAAGACTCTCCTTTTTTTATTATTTATAAAAATTTAGAAAATTTATAAGGCTGCCCGCTCACCCTCTGTGACTTTGGGCAGCTTACAATTTTTTTTTAAAAAAACAACAACCAATATACAAGCATAAAACCAGTAATAACTACGCACCGCTCAGAGCCGTGGGTAGGAGAAGGGCAGTTATACCAAACTTAACCAATAAATAAATAAATTGGGAGTGAAGACTGTAAGGCAGCCAAATCAGGCTGAAGAGCAAATTAACTCGATTCAGGGAAAGCCTCCAACTTCTGTTCAGGAATATAAAGGATTTGATCTGCAAAGCCGGCGGGGGAAGAAACGCTTTGTGATCCCTCCAGCAAGCAATTTATTGACCGCTCAGGAAAGGTCAGCTGGACGGCTGCTGGCTGCGCACAGCGATGGCCGAGAAGGATGGGCTTTGCCGACGGCGTCTGCTGATGGGACAAGCACCATGAGCTTTGGTGTCAAGCGGAAAGGCCACCCCTCCTGGGGACCCTCCTTTGGGGCTTTTGGAAATCGACTGGAAAGGGAGCTCTGAAAATGGGAAAAGGGGGAAGAGAAGCGATGGGATCCCGGTCAAGGAGTCGAAGGGGAAGGAAATATTCAGGCTGGTCGAAAGAGTCTTTGTGAGGGATGGATGGACTGATTGATTGATCGAAGAAATAAATAAGCAAGTAAACAGATCTGGGAGAGGGGAGGACGGGCTAGCTTGCAAAGTTCAAGATGGGAGTCAAATTTATATACATATAAGAAAAAGACCCCTCGACGCATCATCACAAAATCTCCGGAACCGTAAAGCCTACAAACTTGAAATTGGGCACATCTGTTCTTCTTGGCTTCTAGGGGCTCACTAAGAAAGGATTTTTCCAAATGTCCCTCAGAGAATTTAGAGTATTTCCTATATTATTATTATTATTATTAACACGCTCTGATGCTAAAGAGTTCTGCTCCCCCTCCCCACCTGAAAAGAAATCTCTTCCAAAGGCAAAACACAAAAGCAGAGGAGTTTCAGTTTCACAGCAGCAAGCAGCTTTAGGACAGAACAGTTGAGCTAAGCCCCGCCTAGTCTCCTTGCTGTCTCCTTCTTGCTCACGCAGCAAATACTCTTTCAGTTTCCAAACAGCCCTTCAACTCTCTCACACACTGACAGGACGCTCCAGCCTGGCTGGAGAATTCTGGGAGTTGAAGTCCACAAGTCTTATAAAAAAGTGGCCCAGTTTGGAGACCTCTGCCTTAAATGAATCTCATGGCGGTCTAACTAGATGTCATTGGCAAAAGCCTGAAAGAATAATTCATCGAGGAGAGAGAGAGAGGGAGGGAAAGAGAGAGTGAGAGAGAGGGAGGGAGGGAGGGAGAGAGAGAGAGAGAGAGAGAGAGAGACCAAATACAGTTCTAGTCTATCTACTTTTCTATGACATGAATGTGGGTCCTTTAACAGTGTTGAAGGGAGTTTTCTGGCTTTTTTGTTTTCTGTTATGGTGTTTAGTTTTGATACTTGCAAGGAGAAGAGGATGGAGGGAAGGGGAGGGAGGAAGGAAGGAAGGAATACAAGAGATAAAGGAAAGAGTAGAACAGATGGACAGAAGGAAGGAAATTGAAACAGGAAGGAAGGAAGGAAAAAAAGGGAAGGGAGATATAGAACAGAGGGAGGGAGGGAGGGAGGGAGGAAAGGAACAGAAGAAGGTAAAAAAGGAAGGAAGGAATAGAACAGATAGAAGAGGGGGAGGGAAGAGATGAACAGAAGGAACCCAACCAGGCAGGCAGGAAGGG